TCGCATGCCCTACTTTGGATGCCAGCATTATAGAAGAAGAAATTGGTGGGGCAAGGATTGGATTTCTGCCTCCTTCCTCCAGGAGCACCCCAAGCACAAAGCCCTACTGCAGACTTCACAAGGTTGCGAGTAACACAAAGTGAGCTCTACTTAGGTTCCTTCCAGTTTGCCATCAACACCTAACTATGAAGCATATTTTCAAGCCTCAACCATGTGAACAAAATGCACATTTAAGCAAACAGGAAAAAATGACTATGCAAAATGTGAAAGCATTACACCTATTCACATTAAAGCACATGAGCAGTTTTCAGCATCTCCTCAGAAGTTGAAAACACCTCTTGTAACTACAGTGGGATAAAAAGTTAAGCACAAACTTGTCAACACAAATCTATTAGTTTAGAAATAAGAACTTACGTAGAACTTTAGAAGAATAGGGTTTTCATTCAATTTGCACCAAATCTGATTAGAACTCTGCACGGATGACATTAGGCAGAAGATGTTCTGTTTTAAAATTAGGTCTGGATTGCATTTGTAAGTGCCTGGTTTATACGATCCCAATAAGTCTACGGAGAGAGTATAAATGCAGTTTATGCTTCCTAAGAGGACTCCTTTTGCCTTCCTAGGTTGGTGTTACATATAATGCTCAACTATTATGGATTTAAGAATAAGAATTCCTACAGCCTGTATTAATAATAAAATAAAAATGATTAAACAAACACTAATAATGCCTTCTAAAGGGTGAAGTATTTTTTAAAAGGAAATCTTAGATAACAGTTTTGGACACTGCTAAACAGTTCACAGAATCTCAGGTTGGAAGGGATCTCAAGAGATATCGTGTCCAATCTCCCTGCCAAAGCAGGTACCCTACAGTGGGTCACACAAATAGGCATCCAGTTAGGTCTTGAATATTTCCATAGAAGGTGGAAAGGTGCACAGCCTCTCTGAGCAATCCTTACCCATAAACTTTTTCCTCATGCTTGTATGAAACATCCTATGTTCAAGTTATAGGCTATTACTCCTCCTATCGCTGTGCACCACTAAGAAGCCTCATCCATTTGCCTCCCACCTCCCTTGAGATATTTAAGAACATTGATCAGATCCCCTCTCAGCATTCTTTTCCCTAGGCTTCAGCCTTCTATCATCTTGATGGCCCTCCACCGGACTACTACTAGGAGATCCCTGTCTTTTTTAAACCTGGGAGCTCAGATCCAGACACAGTACTCCAAATGTGACCTCACCAGGGCAGAGTAGAGGAAGATCACCTCCCTTCACCTGCTGGCCACAAACTTTTTGTAATGCACCCAGGATACCATTGACTTTCTTGGCCACAGGGACACACTGTTGGCTCACGGTCAACCTGTTCTCCACCAGGACTCCCAGTCTTTTACCACAGAGTTCCTCTCCAGCAGGTCATCCCCTAACCCATATAATAACCTGCGTATGTGGTTATTCCTCCAGGGGCAACACTCTACACTTGCTCTTGTTAAACCTCATCAGGTCCCTCCCTGCACAACTCTCCAATCTGTCCTGGTCTTGTTGAATGGTAGCGCAGCCTTCATCAGCCAATGAAAAACAGAAAAATGCTACATAACTTTTTGAGTCCTCCACCAAAGATATAAAATTGCATTGGATTCTCAAAGGCATTTATTTTCTGGAAAGTAAAGGTAATTTTGAAGTAATCTATATTAAATAATTATGAGTGATGAACTTGTTAAATTACACTTCCAGAGGTTTTTTTATGCTCAGAAGACAGGCTAATGCAGAGAATATTTTGTGGAGAATTAAGGTACCTGGATAAGAATTGTGAAGTCTCCCATATCACATTCAACTCATCTCGACAATGAAAATTAAAACCTCTAGTTAACATGCATCAGGAAATAAATCTCACAGCTGGGTTCCTAAATCATTTCATCTAATACTGTTTGTAAGTTTTCTGTTCAGCTTCAACAAAAACAATTATGAACTGTGTTACATATATGAACCAAATGGCTCGTACTGAAAAAGGAGAAAAAAAATCGTAGAATCATGGAATCATAGAATAACAGAATGGCTTGAGTTGGAGGGGACTTCAAGAATCATCAGGTTCCAACCCCCTGCCACATGCAGGGTTGCCAGCTGCTAGATTAGGTGCTAGATCACATTGCCCAGGGCCCCATCCAGCTTGGCTTTAAACACCTCCAGGGATAGAGCATTCAAATCTCTCCAGGCAACCTGTTCCTGCACCTCACCACTCCCTGTTAAAAACTTCCCAAACAGCTAATCTAAACTTGCCCTCCTTCAGTTTAAAAACCATTCCCTCTCATCCTATCAGTATATACTCAAGTAAAAAGTAGATTTCTCTCCTGATTATAAGCTCCTCTTAAATACTGGAAGACCACAATGAGGTCTTCCCACAGCTTTCTCTAATCCAGGCTGAACAAGGCCAGCTCCTTCAGCCTGTCTTCATAGGAGAGCTGCTATAGCCCTTGGATTATCCTCATGGCCCTCCTCTGGACCCAGAACAGTTCCACATCTTTCCTATGCTGGGGGCCTCAGACCTGGATGCAGTACTCCAGATGGGGCCTCATAAGGGCAGACTAGATGCAGACAATCATCTCCCTCACCCTGCTGGCCACTCCTCTTCTGATGAAGCCCAGGATACCATCGGCCCAAGTGCACACTGCTGGCTCATGAAACATTTTCATTAACCAGGACCCCATGTCCTTCTCAGCAGGGTTAGTCTCATGAAGCTCTTCTCCCAGTTCGTATCCATATCTGGGATTGCCTTGACGCAAGTGCAAAAACTTGCACTTTGTTGAACATCATTAGGTTCAGAAGGGCCCACTTTTCAAGTTTATCAAGTTCCCTGTAAGATTTAGCTAATTTGGCTGTTGCCAAAAAAAAAAAACCAAAAACAACAACAACAACAAAAAGTAATAGTTCTCTAATAGTTGCTGTATCTAAGAGTCTAGAGGGCTACAAGCAGTTTGTGTAGTGGATTTATTGGTAAGGTTTAACAAAGTTCAAAATTTATGTAGAATAACTCTATCACTCTAAATCCATTTATATTATATTATTTTGGCACCAGATTTCTGACAGAGTTGGTGACTTAGAGGAGAGGATGGTCCAGACCCTTCAGGGCTTACAAACTAAAGAGCTACAACTAAGGACCTACGTAGTAACTCTCACACATTACCAGCAAAGCACTAATGGAATGGTGGATGAAATTGTGCTTTGATTATGCTGTTAAATCACAGGGGATGGGTTTCTGATCACAGTTACAATAGCGGTATTTTTTCATCATTTTGAGTCCTCTTAATAACTACTGAAGAATATTTTTTTTTTCACTTTAATATATGAAAAGATTTCTAAAAGGTTTTCTTAGTAAGAATGTCCTGCCTTTCCATCTGTCCTCAGAAAATACTGCAGGTTATTTCAAGAACTGATGAAAAATTAATTCTAAAAATAATTGGACAAAAAAGCAAACAAGCAAACAAAAAACATAAGAGCTTTACATCATGCCTAATAAATGTAAAGATACCCTTCTGGTATTAATGTATTGCATAGACATACACTCACACGAAGGGATCTCTGAGGTCCCCAGTTCAAATCCCTTTGCTTCAAGTGGAGTCAACTAGAGCAAACTAGGATAGGTTGCTCAAGGCCTTCTACGTTTAGGCTTTGAGTAACTCGAAGGATTCAAACTCCACAACATTTCCAAACATCCTTCACATGCAAAAAGAGTTGTTGTTTTTTTTCTTTTCTTTTGCTTTCTTTAGATTTTATTCTTTTTTCTTTCTGTTTTTTTTAATATGTAAGTGGACTAAGACTTCATGGGCAAGTTCACCGCCTCTTCTCCTTAAAAATGAGCAGAAAAACAAGCCTCCCTATTTTGAATGGAAAAGTTTATACTTATAGTTAAACAAACAGTTATTCAGATGGGGTGGAAAACAGATGTCTTCTAATATGCATACGGGGATGTCAGGAGACTACAACATCAGATAAAGACAGACAGACAGATTAGCATATCTGAATCAAAGACATGCCAGGATATAAAAGGGAATGCAGATATGCCATTGGCATTTTGAGTATGAACACCTGCAGAAACCTTTCAAGTTACAAACACAGATAGTTAAAGAGCCAGCTACTGCTTCCAGAGAGATACAGAAAGTATTCAGCTCCATATAATGCCACTTCAAGACAAGCTGCTGTTACAAACCAGACAGTAATCTATCACAGCCTTTCCTGGTGATCCTAATTTTATCTACTCACCATTAATAAATTCGATTAACCTCTTTAGCAAGAAGAAAGGCTTTGCTTACAAGTATGCAGTGGACTACACCAAATCCTCACTGCTAAGTATTACCAGCAACACAAAGTCAAACTGAAGTAACAGAACATAGGCAAACTTGTAAACTTCAGATCAAAATCATCTAGACAATAGGTAAGGTAGTTCTCTTTCCTGTATAAAATTCTCTGTGCTGCATAGTCTACCACTGTTAACAGTAAACTAAAAGATCTTTGATATTTTAAAAAATGTCTTAAAATGTCTCATACATTAAAACTGAGGGGTATAAGTAAGGTTATGACACTTTACAACGTTCTCAGATTGTTACAGAACTCATTTTCAACTTCAATTCATTCAAAGAAAATTATTCTGCAGAGAGGCAAAAGGACAAAGCAACGACCAACTGTACAAATGTCATCAACAGAATAAATTAGAACTGTTAAACTGTAACCATTCTTGTCAAAGAGGGAAGAAAATTAGCAGTCATCAGTTCATACTACTTTGTAACAACCTCATCTAAAAATGCAAAAGGAAACATTGCAAACCAAATGTAAACAAGTATAAGAAACTTCTCAGCTGAAAAAAAAAAACAAAAACAGGAAGGGGAGAAACAAAGGTGTATGTTCAAAAATGAGGCAAAAGAGAGAGTAAAATACAGCTGTTGGTTTTTGGTTTGTTCTTTTTTTTTCCCCAAAACCATGGCCATGTGCATAATATAGATAAAGGTCCTTACCTTTTTCACTGACACTTTCACTTTCTATCTCCACATCTTCACAGCTAGTATATTCTGGTGTTGATGCCCCTTCTTCCTCTGAGCTACTAACTGACATCTGCCTTTTCTTTCCGCCTCTTTTTGCTCTATGAGGCTTTGGAGGGGATGGCCGCACTGATTCCGACTGGTCAGAGCTAAGGGAATCATTCCTTAGCATGGTCTCCATTTTCTCCCGCTTTGCTTTTCGCATGAGAATAGCAGAGCTAGGATCAAGGCGGCTCTGTTTTTTAAAGGTATCGTGGTTCTTGTATTCTACGTGCTCTATGGGAACTGGACTATGCCTGGGAGTTGGTGGACTATGATTAGTTAATTGTTTAGAAACAGAAATTCTTACATCACCTGTTCTGTCTATAGAGTACGACCTCTGAGTTTCCACAAGAGATTTTCTGTCCTGAGTTCCCTGTAATTGTGAGCGTTTTCCTAAGTTATTCTCAGGTACCTCCGCTTCCTCCATTTCTGTGTGTGGCAAAGCTACATCACTGTGTCTTCTCTCATGCCGTGCTTTAGAAACCTTGGCATGCATGCGCATTTGCTGTTCCTCAGGATGTGGTTTAACAGGGTATCTTGCCAGATTGGGGTCACTCCTGTACCGAGTATGATATTCATCTTCCTTCCTTTGTTTTTCATCATCAGGCACTTTGCCTTCCTCAAGTTTTTCTGGCAAGTCGGGATAGTCTTGTGACTTCCCTTTTTCCAGTCTTCTATTTTCATGCCTTTCTTTACGTTCCCTATCACCTGCTGGTCCTTCTTTTTGAAGTGAGGCTTTTGGCACACGCTTACGCTCACCCTTTACAACTTTGCCATTCTGGTCTGAAACCAACGTCTTCTTCCTACAATGAAAAAGGAATACGGTAATTTGAAAAAATTAATGCACAAATGAATACTTGCATAAAATACTGCAATACACATACAGTGATATTCCAATATACAGCGCCAAGCCAAAGCCAATAGGACTGATTTTGTGGCACTGAGCTTTCCTTTCCTCTTTCCTTCCACATCGATACATTTTCGGATTACGTATCATAGATTTTCCACATATGTACTCTATGGGACAGTCAAAGATGCATCTGATCCAAGTTAAGACCCTGTCCCCTTTTTTCCTCCATTGTCTTCTTCATGAGCTGTTGGCAATATGCTGGCTCATCACTAGTGTTCCCCATTCAAAAGCATTGGACTTCCTTTGAAAGTCTCAGTAAAAGTAGAGGACATTGTTATTGCATTATTGATACAGCCATCTCATTTTTGGATAGCAAAGCAGAAACAGAAATCCTTTTGATGCATTAAAAGTGTCCTTCAACTGCATGATGACTGTTCTGTGGCCCTTCTCAACTTTGGGGAAGAAAGAGTGAACAGAATCAGGGGAAGGCATCAGGTATTGGTTGCTATTATTACCTACGCATAATCCTAACTGGAGTTTTGCTCCTGTTAAATTAGCACTAACCTTAACCACACAATAGGTTACTAGCCATCCTTCCTCATTCATTTTTCAGCTCGAAAAGCCATGGAAAGAATGATGAATTTTTTTATTCAAGGGAGAATCTACCACAGTATAATCTTATCTTGTTGCCACAGGGCCCCTCCTCATTTGCTCCATCATCTGGCAGTCAGCAGTCAACAGAGCAGCAAGTGATTCATCACATTATCCTCCCTTCATTTAACATTCTTTGCCCAGTTCATTATAACCAGTGCAGATCAGGAATTTACTCATTTAGCCACTTAAACTATAGAATCATAGAATCATTTGGGTTGCAAGGGACCTTTGAAAAGGCCATCTGGTCCTACTCCCCAGCAGTGAACAGGGACACCTACAGCTACATCAGGTAGCCCCGAGCCCTGTCCAGCCTGGCCTTAAATGATTCCAGGGAAGGGGCATCCACCACCTCTCTGGACAACCTTTTCCAATGTCTCACCACCCTTATTGTATAAAAACCATTTTCCTTATATCCAATCTAAATCTTTTCTCTTTTAGTTTGAAACCATTTCCCCTTGTCCTGTTACAACAGACCCCTGATGAAGAGTCTGTGTCCTTTTTTCTTATACCCCCCCTTTAAAATATATAATAGTTTTTCTGGCTGGCTTCAGTTTTTCAAACAATTTACTTTGACTTCAAGATGGTGCAATCATTGCTCTTCATGAATGTTCAATATTCAATATTAAAAGTGTATGTCAAAATATGCTTTAAAAAAACCACTTATTTACTTTCTCTCTTCCCCTCCACTTCTGTTGCTCAAAAAAAAAAAATAATCCCCCTCCCCCCCCCCAAAAAAAAAAACCAACACACTTCAGATGATGTATTTGCTTATGTACACTTAATTCTTTCCTGGTAAGTGAATCAATTCATCCCTGCATGGCTCTAGACTCACATACAGACCAGCCAAAAGCCCTGTGTAACGCTGTGGCACTAGTATTATAACTGCGAGGTTCTGCGAATGCAGAAAGCCTTACCTCTCTCTTGGAGGCTCACTTCTAGACCTTGATGAAACTTGCTTTTGCTCCAGGCCCATAGCTGGCTGCGATACTTCAGCTCCTTTCCTCTGATCGGATTGAACAGTGGAAGGAGAGATCTCCTGTGATGAGGCAGCTGCTGTACTTAAAGGAGTCTGTGATCTTGACCTCTCTTGAAGCCTGGCTTTCTTTTCTCTCGGTGCATCAGAGCTTGCACCAGTTGCCGTATCACTCAGTGTTCCATCCTGGCTGGGTGATGGCTGTGGTCCACTTCCAAAAAACCACGCTCCGGATTTTGTTAAGATTTCTTGTTGCTTTCGACATAAATTGCATACCCACATAACCTAGTTAAAGACAACAAGAAGAGTCAGTGCAGCTATCCCTCAGACCCAGAAGCACATGCTCACTCTGTCATGGTCAGCTACGGCCTCCCATTTCCTCTAAACTGATGAGGTTTGTGCTCATGCCAGTGCTCAAACATGCTTCTCCAAGCGCTACCTGCACTGGCCAGAGCCAGGCATCCTACAGGCACATGCTCTGCAAGCTTCTCCAAAATATGCTGTCAATATATGCCAGTATAGCAACCCTCCTCAGCCCAGCCCCAGCTCCCTCGATTCAAAGTGACTGTATGCTGGCTGTGGTGAGGTCCACCAGGCTGGGCAAAACCTGGAACTGGTTGACAGAGCTCTGTCCCGTTGCTCGTCCAGCCACTGCCACAGAAAGTGACACGGAATTTCCCTTTAATTTTCCTTTGTACCACATAACATTATTCCATAAACTCAACATTTACTGCATGTACATTTAGCTACGTCCGCAACAGCTACTTACCAGAAATGTAAGGAAGGACCTATATAAAACCTACTAATAGAGAACTCAATGCACCAACAGTATCATATTTTGTACTACTTCAAAAGGACCAAAAACCATCTCTCTGATTTACAGTGATAAATCATAAGCAAACAAACAAAGACCTGACAATCACAATTAAGCTGAATTCATCAGTGGTGCTGCATAGGATTTTTGCTTAAGTTTCAGACACAGAGGTAATCAGAGCACATACAATAGAGCAAGACTGGGCATTTCAGGTCTACACACTACAGAACACAATCTTAAATGCAAGAATGAATCACCAGCAAAAAAATAAAAGATTCTTGAGCAGAATGAAGTCTGGGATTTTTTTTTTATTATTTTTTTTTTTAGTAGATGGGACAAAAAGAGCGTTTGAAGTGAAGAACAAACACAAAATGCATACAGAATACATGAGGTAGGAATTTTTTCAGAAATAAAGCTAGATATGAAAGGAAAGTAAGGTTGAAAACTAAAGAGGAAAATGGAAAAAAAAAAACCTGAGTTGAATGTGGAAAGAAGTAAAGGAATGAGTGAAAAACGTTTAAACTATTTTGTGTCAACATAGGGATTATACAACTGTGGTAAAATGATACAACACTTAGAATGAAAAAAAAACAGAAAAATAATCATAACAGGGATTGTTTATAAATATATTTATGTATAAATATATATAAATATATTATAAATATAAATATATTATACATACATATTTATATTATTATACAGGGAGGAAACTACAACAGGACAAAGCTCTGGCAGCAAGCAGTTATTCTCTAGCTTGGAAGGAAGCACATGCCTTCTATGGTAAAATCAAAATTTTAGACATTTAACACATATAAGATAACAGAGATTTATTTATAAAACACCCTAGAACAGATTGTTTTAAACTATCTGTTTAGGTGTGAAGAATACATTACAACTTCCAACACCATTTCTCTACTGTTTGACCAAACCACACTGAGAAGACTCAGACTTTTCCCTGCATCTGGACCATTACATTTCTTCTATGTAGGAAGGATAGTAAAATACTAATTTAAAAACATCAATTAATTAAAAAGAAAAAAGAAAAGAAAGAAAAAAAAAAAAAAAAAGCTACAATTATTCCAGCAAAAAAAATACGTCTTACGTCAAAAATGGATAGATAACTCTCAGTAGGACAAGAGGAGTAGCAAATTCATCAAAACAAATACTGGCCCTTGAAGAGAAAACACCCTCATTCCAAAATATTCTATTTCCTTAATCTAGAACGCATCTCAAAACAGTATCAAACTGTCATTAGATTTCAGTCTGATATTATTAGTATAGGTATTCAAAATACCAGCAAGGCTAAAAGGAAAAAGAATTTTCACACGCAGAAATGCCTTTACAGGCTCTGAAAAAACTGTTAGCTCATTAGACAGCAAGTGTGTGCATGCACACACATTTATGTGTAAAATTTATGTTGGTGCTATAAACTCAAGCCATTAATAAAAAAATATGGCATGGCCTACATATCACTGACTCAGAGGGAAAGTTGAAAAAGACTTATGAAAAATTTAACAAAGCGAAGCTTGTTTAAAGGAATGGTAAGGAATACTAATATCAAATTGAAATATTCTAATTTTCTTTCATGTGGATGCAAGCATGCACCAGTACTTTAAAGGAGTAACAGACTTCATTTACAATTTAATGTATTTTATCATTTAAAATATGTATAAAATCATGTAATAAACGTCAAAAATTATCATTAATTTACATAATCACTTTGATATTTTAATTAGTTTTACAAAACTACTATAAAATCCAAACAAATAGGAACTGCCAATGCACAAATAGATACAAATAAAAACAATACAAAAAGAAATACTAGACATCTAAGTACAAAGAAAGCATTTTCTCATGTCTTTAAATAGCACAATTTAGACAAAATACAAACCCATCACCACAGACTGCACACACAGAATATCGGCATTATACTCACAAGAAGCTACACTACCATCCCTCTTCAGGATTCTCTTTAGGACTTAACAAATGCTACATTTGCCTTGAGATATATTCAGACCAAAAGAAAAAATAAAAGAGCTTTTCTTTAAAATGAAAAAAAATAATAATAATAAAAACACAAAAACTTGAGGTGCTGTAACAGTTTCAGTGATAAAACCGTACACATAAAACCATTTTTAGAAATAAAAACTGTATATTGAAAAACATTTTTAGAGAAGTATGTGGAGCAAGCAATTTAGCAGCATGCAGGAATTATATCCTGATTGAATATACTGGGATGTGATCCAAACTAATCTAAACGAAAGCAGGTCTGTGTAATAACTTATCTTAACAATCCACAGATGTTAGGCAACCAAACAAATGCTCTGATGAAGGATTACAGTTCTCTAATGTAGCTTCTGGGCCTCCATGCAATGCATCAGTAAAATGAAGGGTGTTACATTATCTATTTTCCTCTGGCCTGTCACGTCAAAAGTAGTTTGCTTACTTTTTTCTGGATGGTGAGCTCTGATGCAGCACTATAGTGAGTCAATCAAGACATGTATAGAGGTTGTGGGCTTTTTTGGTTTTTTATTTTTGTTGTTGTTATTGGGTTTGTGGCTGGTTTATAAACACACAGCTGCACACGAAGCTATTTAAGTGAACCAAGAAAGGGGTGCTCCTCATCCAAACAGTTCATGTGCACAGCTCAGGAAAATGTTCATTTGCACTGCACAGCAAAGGGATCTACTGCGTTACTGCTGCACAACAGAAACAACGTGGCACATACAGAACTCAGCAGAGGTGGGTCAATTCCCACACAGATTCACGTCAAAAACTTCACAGGCTGCGTGAAAACATGCTAGAGGGATTCCATGCTTGCCTTCAAGTGGAATATGGGTTATTTCATTCACAGAAAAAAATATTCCTCAAACTTACTCTTACAGGTACTGGTGATCCACAATGAGTAGGAACAGTATTCCTGTACTAACACAACATGAAATTCCAACTTGAAAGAGCCCATAGTAAACAATATATACAACCATGCACACAGAGAAAAAGAGCATTTTCAATTATGAAAATAAGAACACTTCTTTATGATTAAATATTTTAAAACTATATTTTAGATTGAAGAAAAAGGCTTTTTCTTTCATATTCTAATTTGTAGTCTTCATTCCAAACATGCACTAGAAGGGAAACAAATCTTATACCAAATCTGTGCGCCTCCAAACTCACACTGAAGTTGCTGTGAACTCCCCAGAATTCTTTACCCAAGCCCAGACACTTATGAGGCTTCATTGTGAGTACAATCCTTCACCCTTTAAGAGTTCAGAAATGGCAAACTCACAATTTCACAAACACCCATACATCCTGCTTCATCTACACACAAGAAATTAGGTATAATTAGGTGCATTAATATAGCAGGCCAAAAGGCATGCTATACTGAACCTTCATACTATCAGAATTATTTCCCTTCTGAAAGATGTCTACACAATGCCTTTTCTGTTTATTGTGTTTATTTTGTTTGTGTTTCTTTAGCCACCTTCTTCTATATACCTCCAGAAGACACTAGTTGTTTCAAGCAGATCTGATTAGGCAGACCCTTTTCTCTGCTACAGACTCCATTAACTTCAGCAGAACTGTGCCACCATCCTACACCATTGCTTTATAGTCAGAGGGAAGGAATGCTATCAATTTTTATCTCATGATACTTTCCATTCATACAATTGAGTTAAACTACATAACACTTCATTTTTCTCCGGTTACAGAAAAGAAGCAGCAAACAAATCAGTAAGAAGCACTGCATTCATCTCCTACTACATCAAATTGAATCCTGTAATAAAACCGTAGCTAAAGGGTTGTAACTCCTACACTCCATGAAAACATAAAGAAATGAAACTGAAAGTCTATTTCAATGCTTACATTCAGAAGTCCAAACTCTAAATAAGCAAACAATTGTATCTTTCTAATGAGAATGTGCTTGTGAAACCAAGCATTCATTAAATAAATTTTTCAAAATTAAGTGGGCAGCTGATTACATCCAACGTCTCTCAATCACCAAAATTGAAGGTTTTCTCACCATTTTTCCCCTCACTTGCTCTTCTTTCTCCCTATCCCAGTTTGTCCTCTCCCTTCCTTGCTTCCATCTTCACCATATCACACAATCCACTGCATCTCCTCCTTTGACTGTCAGGTCAAAATAACCAGCTGAACTTAAAAACACAGTAGAAATTAATCTGCATTTTTTTAGCTGGGTTAATTTTTTGTCTCAGCGATCTTTCTCTTGGAGGGATATGATGAGCAATTAAAATAACGTTATCAAAAATTGAGTCAAATGGAGAAAAGATGTTTCTCCAATGCAGTGGCTTACCATCTCTTAGAAAACTACATCTTAAAACATCTCAAATACCAGCACATTATGCTTACACAAACATTTTTGAGCACTGAAGCAAAATGACACAAAACAATCTGCACTTATACTAGGATCTTCAAAGCAAGGTGGCTGCACGTTAATTGTCTCCTGGAGATGATC